ATTGATAAAAACTGTTTTTTCTTTTTGATTTACTTTAACAACTTTTGCTAAATCTCCTTTTTTACAATTTTTGTCAATGTCAATAAGTAGTATAATGCATTGATTAATATAAAACTGTTCTTCACTTCCCATAAAGTATTTTAATTTCTTTTTTTTTTTCTGAACTAAAAAAAAATTTAATTTGAAATAGAACAATCAATTAGAAGTTACTTCTTATCATTTATTTAATCTCTTTCTTTAAATTTTTAAAAATAGATCTTTCTTTTCGTTAAGATTATGATTTCATTTTTCCCATAACTTGTTTGAATAATTCAAGATTAGCTAAATATTCGGGATCGTTCTCATCTTCACTTGAACTATAATCTTCACTACTTTCATCATCTAATCCTCTTTTCATTTTTGGGTCATCATCTAAGACAGAATCATGTTTTGTTTGATCATAGACACAATCAATACTAAGCTCCTTATATTCTGTACTTTCTGAACTAATTTCAAATGGTTTTTCATCTAATGTATTTATAAAAATCCAAGAATATATTAAATATTCACGTTTTACAGCGATAATATTTTCCATTGGCTTAGCATCAATAATAAAATCTGTTTTATTTGGTCCATCTAAATAAACAAACTTTTGTATTTTAGCACCCATCATAACTGAATTTCTTAATATTTCTTTCCATATCATTTGAGTTAATAAACCATTTTCCATTTTACTAAAGTTAGGTCTATTAAAATAAAGGTTCTTATTTTCTAATATTTTTTTTCTAAATGAATGTAAAATTTCTTTAACATCTTCTATGTGTTCATCATAAAATTTATTATATATATTTTGTAACACTTCAGTTACTCTTAACAATTCAGTATCAACTTGGTTCGTTGAAGGAACATATTCACATATTTGAACAACATTTTTATTATCCCAAACATCTATTCTATCATCAACAATTACTTGCATCTCTTCTTTTCCCATAGTTGGAATACTTCTTTTAACACTTCTTCTTTCATTTGTTTCTTCTCGATCAATTAATCCATCATTTGTGTCTTTTTCATCACAAACAATCACAGAAGAACAATCTTCTGCAGTAACTAAATCTCCAGTAATAAATGGGGTATCCCTAAGTTTGTTAATGGCATTAACAATAGCAAAAGCATATTCTTTTTGGCCTAATGTAACTACATGAATATCATACAATTTTGATACTTTTTCCATAAATGTAACTATCCCATCTCTAAATTTAATTAACACTTTTGCGTTTTGTTCTGGTATTTCAAAATAAAATCCTTGTTCAGGTGTTATTGGTTCTTCTTCATTTTCTAATGGTACACATAATTCAGGATTTGTAAAAACAATTGTACCATCAAGGTCTAGAATCAATGAAAGTTTCTTTTCTTTTAAAAGTCTTTCTGAAACACTCCTTTTTTGTTCTTCTGCATAACTTTTTGTTATGCCATATCCTCCTGAAGTTCTAATATAATCGTCAACATCTTCTATCAGTTGATAACAATCAACACAATAGTTTTGGTCATTAATTTTGTTATGTGGACAAATATCTTTCTGTGACATTTTTTGACTTTTTCTTATTTTTAAGTTCTTTAAGTATTTTTATGTTTTTCTCTTTCTATTTTTTCGTGTTTTAAGAGAAAAAAAATAAAATAAATATCAAAAACATCTTAAAAAAAGAAAACAAAAAATGGATCCTTTGAAAGTTCTTTCTGTTTCTCGTAGTGAAAATGGAAACTTGTTAGCAGTTGGAACTACTTATGGATTTATAGTCCTTTCAATTAAAAATGGTAAATTTACAAAACGATTTCATAGAAGTTTGTTATTTATTTAAAGGTGATATCAACAAACTCATTGAAAAAGCATTTAGAAAAGGAATCAGTATTATTAGTGTTCTCGAAGAAACAAACATTGTTGCTTTTGTTGGTGGAGGACAAACTCCTTATGCACCTAAAAATACATTAATAATTTGGGATGATAAAGAAGGAAAAGAGGTATTGAGGAAAGAATGTGAAAACGATATTAGTGGTATTAAAATTACAAGAAATTATCTTTTTATAGTCTTTGAAAATATGGTTTCTATAATGGATTTATCAAGTAAATCAATTACAAATATTGATACTGACTTTAATCCTAAAGGTATTTTATCATTTCATTCAGCTACTAACCAACTATTTATTCCTGCTAAATCTCTTGGAGAAGTAAAAGTCTATCAATTAGGTGCCCAGCCAGTTATCAATTCATTAAAATGCCACAAACATCCAATAACAAATTTAACTATAAATAATTCAGCAACAGTAATGGCTTCGTCAAGTGCTGAAGGTATAATCATTAGATTATGGGAAGTAAAAAGTGGAATGAAAATGAAGGAGTTTCAAAGAGGAAGTAGTCCAGCGGAAATATTAAATTTATCAATAGATAATGAGCAACAATATTTACTGAGTTATTGTAGTGATTATGAAATTAGTATTTTTGATATGAATAGGAAAGTTAAGGGGAAATCTAAATGGTATACAGGAGGAGAACAACCACTAACAAGTATGAAAGTAGAAGATACATGTTTAAGTGCATTTTTTACATCAAGTAATGAAATAGTAGTAATTGATACAAGAGGGACATATCAAAAATATTGTATAAAAGAAGTAGAAATGTCTAAAATTAAAATAGAAGGAGAAGGAAAGATAGAAACAATATTTGGATGTGAAGTTTGAAGAAATAAGTTAAATAATATTGTTAAAATTTGTTGAAAGTTAAAGAAAAAAAAAAGAACTGGAAAAAGAATATGATAAAAGGAATAATAGTAATAATGATAATAATAAGTGTTCAAGGAATATGTCTCACATGTTCAGAAGAAGAAGAAGACATTATTGGATGGGATGGAAATGAGTATAAAAGAAAAGAAGAAGTACTTAAAGCAATAAAAAGACAAGAGCAAAAGATAAAAGAAAAAGAAAAGATAAAAGAAAGAGAAATGAAAAGAATCAATGACGAAAATAAGAAATTTGAAACTTCTTCAAAACAAAAAAGAAAAAATCGAAATGAAAGAAGAAAATTAATACGAAAATTAAAAGAATCAAAAATCAAATTATTAAATTATCAAGAATTAATTAAAAATTTTAATTAATTTTTATTGTATTAAAATATTTATTATGTTCATTTCAACTCTAATAATATTCTTTTTTCAATACATAGAATATATCAAATTATATTCATCATTAGTATTGAATAATGTCCTTGGTTCATCCAAAAAACAAACAACCAAGAAATAAATACTCAAGGGTATATAAAAGAATAAATGTTAACACTAATAAAATGTATAGTTAGTATTAAATGAATACAATGAAAAATGAATAGAAAAACATGAGCAAATATAATGATGAAAAAGAAAATAACCAAAATAAAGAAATGATTAAAAGATGTGTATTACAAAATTAATAAATAAGAAAGAATTAAAGAAAAAACTCAAAAAGAAATAATAAATAAGAATTTAACAAACAGCAGAATAATATCCAGAAATTAAAATGAAGAACTAGAAAGAAGAAATTGTCTCATCAGAAATAATGATAAAATCACAAAATATAGATAAGTACATGATATATAAATAATAATAATATTATTACTATCATTTATGATTATCATTGAAATTATTTTATTTGTGATATTTGAATATTAATATATTTAAAATATAATAAAATAACATAATATCAATAATATGATGATATAAAATATGATTAATAAATCAAAACCAAATATTCAAACATGAATATTTCATTTCTGTTTCAATTGCATAATTAGTCCTTATTTAATTTATATTTCTATAATTTTGATATCAGCACTTATAATTCGATAACCAATTGTCCACATACCAACAGAATCTTTATATGCAGTAAGACGTAACCCTTCAAATTCTTTGATAAGATTCAATCCTTTTTCTGAAACTTTTATTCAAACTTTCTTTATGCTTAATAGTTTTTTTATAGGTAAAAATTATAAAATTAATCCTATATTTCTTTTTATTATTTATTATTTATATTATTGTCATTCAATTTTATAATCTAATATCACATTTGATTCTCTATTTTATAACATGTAATCGGTTTCTTTAATTTCGTAATAGGATAGGATAATTATTTATTTAATTTAAAAGTAAAGTTTATAACAAGAATTATTATAATTATCAAAAAATATAAACATAGTATTAAACAAAAATGTTTTTATTAAAATAATTTATAGAAGAAAAAAATAACAAATAATAGATATATCCACAATTGGATTTTATGATTATGAGAATTGATTATTTCAGTTTCTTCAATATGCTCTATTTCTACAATAGAGTTGATTTCTAACATATGAGAATTAGAAGGTTCTTCTTCTAATGTACTACCAGTGTTGAATATGTAGAACATTAAATATTTCATGTTTATAATAATGATTGTTCGTAGTATTTTGTTGAAATTTAAATATAATTTTAGTGTTTTCAATTTTCTTACTGTTTCTTTATGTATTAATTTATTGTTAATATTACAGGTATTATTTCTATATAAATTATTTCTCTATTTTGTATTAACTTCTCTTGTAGTTCTTTGTATTTATTTATTTTGTAAATATAATTTAATTCTTTATTTCTATCTTGACATATATCAACATCATTAATATAT